CTGGAAAGGGCAATGCGGTTGAATTGAGTCGAAAGACAGGCAAAAAGGATCATCACAAACCCAAGAAGGGGAACATTGTTGGCAAGGAGGTCTGGGCTACTCTGCGCGTCGGAAAGAATCAAGTTGGAAGGCATGGGAGCTGTGAAATTGTGCTCCACACAGACCAGCGGTGTAGTCGAGTACATGGAACTGTCTTGCGCAGAGTAGACAAATCTACTTTAAGAGAACAATAATTCCGGGCTTGGCATACCCGGCAGTTTGTATACCCCAGAGGCTGCAACTGTGGCATTGATGATTCATATTCTTACCCGTATTAACTACTCCTGCACTTAGGTTGAGATTGAACCCCATCCACACATCCGCGAAGCATGCACAGATCATGAGTTTGACCGGGAGCACGCCACGCTCTGTCGACGATACTGTGCTTTGTGCCGATGCTTTGTGTGTGCTCGTCCGCCTAGCTTGTGTAGCGACTGGCACGGCCATTCTACAGCTGTCTCCACATCGGTTGTTTCGCAGCAGAAGCGAGCGCTAGCGCTGCGCCGCTCGAAGCAGTCTAATGAGCTGGCCTACGAGGAGACACTTGAAGCGCGCGCATTTTACTATGATGTGGGTAGCTCACGCGGCTCGATAATTTCTGGTAAATACGCACGCGGTCGGGTTCGCTTGCGCCTCGGGGACGCCATTATTGTGGGTCACACGGAGCTGCTTTTCTGTGTGCAGCCCCCTGGTTGGGCTGCGCCTCTTCGGACAGAGATGGCTAGCTCCTCGGACGATTCTTCCGGTGAAGAAAGTACGCCCAACAGGCGCAAGTCGCTTCTGAAGGATATAATGAAAGGGACCCTCGCTGGCGTCTCCTCTAAGCGCGAGCTTGGTGTTGATAGTGACGCAATCAATGCGATGGACAATACAGCCGGGAATAGCGGTGCTGTGCTGGACAAGGCCGACCGTCTTCGGCGCCTTTCTAGCCTTAGCTCCAAGCGCCTGCCCGAGTCCGCTCCCGCTAGCACCATTTCGACCCCGAGCAACATCCCCCGGAACCCCCCCCTGGCCGCTCAACAGAGGCCTGATAGTGGCCTTGCCTTCCTCTCTCGGGCCCCAAGCCAGCGAGCTCAGTCCTCTTTCAAATGGAGCTCGGCTTAGAATGCTTAGCTAAAGTGCCCAAGTTCGCGGACTGCACTAGCCTCTCCTATGTAGGACC